TGCATATTTACTTTTGCCGCCTAATGGTGGAAGGATAGGTCCAGTCTTGTTTGCTCAAACATCCATCAGTCAGTTTGAAAACCTATGTCATATTTTGTCATAGATTTCACTAAAAATTTAAATCGGGGTTATTAAAATATTAACTTATGCCTCACAGTCTAAGATGCAACCCCCCAATTTCCAATAGCAGAAAAATAAAATGTGAAAGCCGCAAGTTATTCGAACGAATTTATCCAGATAACTTCTCTTGCCAATATCCCCGAAATCAGTTTTCGTCGGCTTCCACTGCATTAAAATACCTCTTAGTTAATTATTCTACTGTTCCCTTCGTTGCGTTTGCAACAACACTTTTATTAGATATTTGGTTGCAGTATTGTTTTCGGCGAATTTCCTGAATATCAATTGTAGTTGGTAAATTGAACATAATGTAAGGTAATAGACGGATTATTGCCTTGCATCTTTCGGTATTTGCAAAATACATAACTATGGTAGCAGGCTGACAGCTTCTTCGTCCTTTATTTCAAATATTACTTTGCATATTGATAGTCATTTATTGCATCCAATTTTATTATTATTACAGAAAAAAAAACTTTCCTCAGGGTATTTAGTATTTAGAATTTACAATTAAAAAATCATAATTGATAAACTCTCAAACGATAAATATTTGTCTATGGGTTCATTTTGAAAATACAACACAAAATGTTTTTGCGAATTCATTTCACTGCAAGTACTAGAACAAGCCCGCAATGGAAAAATCCAACTGAAAAAATACCAATATGGAAACGCGGCTTTAAATTCCACTCGTGACGATTTAAAAGTCCTCAAATATGCTGAAAAGGCCACAGAGTAAATTCTCATAGCCAACATCCTTTGTACTTGATTGCCTCTGGATGAAAGGGAATAGCAGCTTTGGAGTAAACGTGCGACTATTGTCCGCTAAATATAATCTGTACAAGTAGATTCCATAGTAATTGAACAAGTTGCTTAAAACATTCCCAATCAGTACGATATTTTAATATTCAATACTAAAAATTTAAGATGCATCTAGTTACTTACATTTACTTTAGTGTTGAAAATGTCCAGAAGCAAAGCAAATTGAAATTGGTCTTGAAAATGCGAATGAGATAAATTAAATTTTTCGTATTTCCATATATTCGCAATTAGTTATTTTAATATTCCCCTTCTCTTTATCTGAAAAGTGCAGGGAAACTAAAAAGTGGAATCTGCGAAAAAATTAGCAAAAACGTTTTTTAAATTTGCGGACTACACGGAAAGTAAAATGCATTGAAATTTATTTTCTTCGCTCGAAAATCTGCACCTGGCACCCAAGCAGAAAAGGTACATGCATATTAGTTTGAACAAATTTAGCTGATCGAAAATTTCCATGATGGCTTTATCTCGTTAGGCGAAGTTAGTTCCACAAGTTATACATAAGAATATTTGAACTACGCTTATTATACAATTGGAAGATAAAATATTATATAATATGTATCAACATAATTTAGCAATTGCATTCAACTAATTGCTTATGGCTAGTAAGAAAACAACATTTAATCTAGTTATATATAAGCCAAAAATTGGGTGATTCATGCGTTTCAAAACGTGGAAATCAATAGCTAAGGGTGGGAATTTTAGACAATAATTCCTCTGAAACATTCGCGATAGAAGCACAGCGGATATTGAGCAAATGTTAGCTTGGTAGATGAATAAACAGTTACCCACTTGTACATTCTTTTGGTTTGGATAGACTCTCTAGAGCCGATAGAGACTTTAAAGCGTTTTCGGAAAGTAACAAAAATGTTCCATAACATATTTAATGTGTTTATATTCATTATGCATTGGAAAAATGCATCTTACTTTTTTCAGTCAATTGGAGTTTTAGATATTCTTATGCAAAATCTTAAACAGCAGTGCCTCACACTGCTAAATTACTTAATTTATAGAAATAAATTAAACTGTTACGAAAATTCAATCATGACCAGACTGTATATTAATTTATAATTGTTGGTGCTCTCGAATTCATTTACAAAAACTGTCGATAATAATATGAATGAAATTTCCGAAGAGAAATCTACAGTTCATAATGCTCTATTTGAAGTTGAAAGTGTTTAACCAATATTAAATCGTATAATATGTAATTATAAAAATATACAGATTTTTATAGCAGCAAATATTCGAGAAGCCACCTGAAAGATTTATTACTGGAACGAATCGATTGTCTTAAAGGAATGTTAAGCAATTTAGATTAAGGCAAGCCGAACTGGCCTTTTGTCTGCCAAGTAATTGTATAACTTAATTTAAATTTACTCTGCATTTGTAGTTTAGTTTGGTAGTAACGGCTTTCGGTTAGTTATCTTAATTTCACCTTACGCCGCTTTTAATTCTTGGGTGTATATAGGTGATGTTATCGTCTACGGATTAAAGTTAAAGTACTTTCCATTTCGCATATTTGATAGAACAAAGTTTCGAACTACAGTGCTAAGTATTTAAATTTTAACTTTAATTGGGGATCAAAGTCATGCGGTTTTAAGTAATTATGCAAATTTGAGAGGAAGATTTTGTTAAAACAATACATATTCAAGTTAAGTTTTCCGTTGGAAACTTCAGCACTGTTCTAAGACATGAAAATCAATTTCCAGCAATATCTGAAACTAAATATATAAATAAAAACTGAAAATAAAAATAAGTTTTTAATTTCATAATCGTAGTGCGTAGTGATTAGTCAATATTTTTGTTAGTTTTGAGAGTAATTTACAGGCCTTTTTTGTATGAAATGTGTTGTATTGAAGGCAATTGTAATTGATTAAAAATACATAAAACCTTAAACAGTTATTAATCCAGAAACTTAGCAATCATTCGGAAATTTCAATGTACTATTTATTTGAAGTTAAGTTTGATAGTTACGGCTATAGGGTAGAGTTATCTCCATGTTACGTTAGCGATGAGCTAAAGAGAGAGCTAGAGATGAGCTAAAGCGTGATTTTAAAATCACTGTTATAACTGTGAATGCGATTTTTTTAAACTGTGAATTTAACCTATGAATGTGATTTCACTTGTTGCTGCCGGTTTGGTGATATAGCAACGTCACAAGGTGAGGAGCAATGGTAAGTCACTTGCAGAAATAGTTTTAAAACATTTGAAATTCATATATGTTAAATAGGTAAACTTATTTAGCTATACAACAAATATGTGATATACTTAAAGTACACATGATTTTAAGGAAGCTAATAAATAACAGCCCCTGCAACTAGCAACTGGCTACACATTTTGTAAACTCATGTACTCTAAAAAAATTAAAATAGGAACAAAAACTATTGTTTTACGCAGAACGAATAGCGTATGTGGCTCTTAATTCTTTGTGAACAAGCTATATTTGATTTTAATTTTTGATCTGAAAAAACACTATTTGTGTGAAAATAGGTACAAAAATATTACTTTGCTACTCCTCGCAAGAATTTTCAGAATTTATTGATATTGTGGGATGTTGCATTCCATGTGCCGTTTCAAATTCGACGTACTTGTTTTGAAAGATAATTTTGCTTTGCAGAAATTGCATTTTTCAAAATTCATTCATTCATCTAAGGCAGAAAATAAATTCCACGTAAAATTTAATTTCTGTCGCTTAGCTTTATACATAATTTTATTAGGGTTCGTTCTTTCGATGGGCGACATGAGCAACATATGATCACTACACGCAACTCGCAATAGTAGCATTAGCAGTAAAAATCGCTCTTTAATATCACAGTTTATTTTTGCGTTTGTCACAGTTTGTTATTGCTATTTATCAATCGCTTTTAAAAAATCACAATTAGTGATTTGTGGCTCAACTTTAGTAATAGGCATTAACGGTTGCGAAAATATTTTAGGGACAATTCAATATTGACCATTTTGGGAATTAATCAGAAAGAACTTTTCTAGTGTGAAGTTCGTGACGATTATTTGCAATCATACGAGCGGTTGAGAAGTAAACTCAAGTTAATTTAATCCCTTCAGTACAATAATGTGTAGCGCGGTTTGTAGAACACTAATGTTAGACGCGATTGCCGAGGGTATGATAAATGGATATATTAGTTTTATTATTAGGGACAAATTAGGAGATTCATTATTGAGCAGAAATCTTTGTGTGAAAAGTTTAAATATATTGACTTGCAATAAATATAATCGGTTGCCTCTAACAGAGTCTTTCATTCATATTGACCTGCGATTTATGCATACTTCCTTCAACATTAACTTGATTTGAAAAAGTGCAAGAGGTGGAAACGGTAGAAATAATACATCTAAACTTTATCAAAATTTATGAGTAATTCGGCTTCAAGCGACATCGGATTGTTAAACTTAATTGCCGTAAAATTACAGAATTATATTTTTCTGTTAGACTACAAAATTTTTCTAAGCATTGACAGTTAATTTGTATTATGGGAAACTGCTGAGATCCTTGTCAATTTAATGTCCTAATTGATGTACAGAAGACACAAAAATTCGAAGATAACAATCCAGCTGTTATAGCACACCTCCCGTTTTTGGAGCTGCATTTTGCCAAATTGAGTACGGAAAACTCATTTATAAATAGTGAAAAAGGTATAATTCTATCTTAATATTTATATATAATATATAAATGATATATATTTATATATTTTAATATTATCATATTCATATGATGATATAGCCGATTGAAGCATTTTCTAAGAACATGTAGATTTTGTTTGATCGGCCAGTTTAAGGTTCACGTTTTCCAGTAACCCGCTTAGCAAATTTGCGGTGTGTCATGTAATTCAAAGTTACGAAATAAAAAAAACCCGCAATTTGTAAAAAAATTGTAAATGTCAAATTGCTGTCAGAAAAGCGCAAGCGTACAATGCGTACAATGCGTACAATTTTAAATCGACAATTTACGTCAAATGTCCAGACGTATGATGGATATTTTCTGATAGGTGGCCATGCCATGCGGACGTAATGACAGCGCTGAAACTGACACATTTAGTTCTTTTGCCCTTTGTCACTGTCACGTAGTACATTGATATCGTAAATTAATTGAATAACTAAGCAGTTTCATAATGAAAATCCAGCAGATTACCGTTCCTATTTCAACTCTTCCCGACGAAGATCTTCCAGCATGGGCAAAACACCTTGAGTGTGCCGCCAACAACTTGTAAGTACCTCAGAGTGATAAGTCCCATTATTTTGACAGTTGGGTTACCAAATCTAGGTTAATTTTGAATATCTTATTTATTTTTTGATTGTTTGTGTTCTCTTGGGGTTTCAACTATCGAAAAATTAACTTGTTGGAACGGAAATTTTTAAGTCATTTAGCCGCTGGGGACTATGTCTTAAACGTGGATCTGTTCTGGGCTTTTTGCGGGTGCGCGTTACGGGATGTTTACTGAAGCTTCTTGCGCACGAATGACTTACATTCCCACCCTTAATACAAGTCTTGATTCAGATGTAGCTGAGGACGTAATTTGCCAAAGCTGGCAAAACGTCAGTAATAATTGTTTCCCTGGAATTTCAAACTAATTATCCTATGTTGCTTTAATTTCAGGCATCTGTTCGAGCCAATAACTGCGGGCGAACTGACTAAGCTAAAGGAAGACTTAGAGAAAGTCTACTTTGAAATGTGGAAGAGATCATATCAGCCGGTAGTTGCTGAGATTAAAATCCGACTTGCACAGTTGAAGAAGTGAAACTTACAGGCTGTATTCCTTGTTTTAAAATTGTTTGTGTTAAATTAAACCAATCACTGATACTACGATGTATTGCCATCTGTAATAAATGAAATTAAATATTTTAAAATGATGGGAGGCTTTTAATTTTATTTAAATTTGAATGTGTTAGTGAGACAGGTTTCCAAACTAAGTCATTTTGCGCTGGTTTTAAACTGGTAACTTGGTAAGCTTTTGCTAGTTTATCAGCAAAATGTATTATTGCAACGAATCTGGTGGTTTAAGGGATACATTGATAATTTTTGTTCTTCGTTATCTTAACTTCTTGGCTTTAAGAGTTAACAGCATATGATCAAGTACTACTTCTATTGTCATTTCAAATTGAAACCAGTTATCTGATCTCGATATACACTTGCGGCAGCAAACGTGCTATTTTAACTTGGGACCACTTCGAACTCGAACTTTTACAGGTTAGCTATCCGATTCGGCCTTAAAGTTAAAGGAAGCATTTTAGGAACAATTCGCTATTCCCGAGTTCGCCAATTTAGTGAAAACGTGAAACGAAAACAAAAAAAAAAGTGTTTTAGTATGAAGTTTACGATTATGTTTGTAGAATTGTAGAAGAAAAATATTCAAAATTCACCACAAGTTAATTTAATTATTTCTGAACAATAAAGTGTTGTGGTATGTAAACCTCCTACACTAATTTCAATTCGTCCTTTCTGAAATTTTGTTTTAAAATATTAAATATGATAAGTAAATAAAGCCAACGTAGTACAAATCGGACCAATAATTTGTTAGCAAACTAGTTTATGGCTAGGATTTATGCAAGAAAAAGAAAAAGTTCTTCTAAAATGGGCCAAAAATTATATGGATCATTCCCAGTTTTAATAAGAATTATTTTGTCTCATTATCATGTTTAATTAAATAAGATATGACCAAAAACTGCGAAGATATGACCAAAAATGACTATGAAAGAATTTGTTGTTAATACTTATGTTACTAATGCAACAGGCACTTTTTGGCCAAAGGCTGGTGTACTGTTTCGTGAATTTAAGAACACTCCTCTCTTTTGTCCTTTAGAAAGCTTAAAATGTCCTGTTCACAGCCGTCGTATAGGTACTATTATCGTCGTATAGGTAACGATTATTGATAAATCTTATTAATACTAATAAGCGTATGGAAGTTGGAAGCAAAAATTGTTCCAAATGTGCACGGAAATTTCGCGATATGCTGGAGAAATCGGGAAGAACAAAACGTTTCAAGTTAAGTTTTCGTGCGAGTGATGAAAATCGTGCACTTTCGGAGTCGAGCAATCTAAATCAACAAAATGATTTTGAATAGAAAGAAATGTGCGTATTTTTCAACAAGAACAATAGTTTGGAGGTCCTGAAAATATGGAAAATTTTGAAGAAGGACGTTTCAGCGAAAGTACAGATGATGTTAGTGAAGCTTCTGAGCTCACAAACAATAATGAAAGTAGGAGTCCAGCCGATTTTGACGAGTGCCTGAAAAGACAATTACACCTTTTATAACAGTAATGAAGAGTATAACATTTTAATATTCTCTAATATAGTTCATGGAAAAATAAATTACATATTTTATTACAGTGAAATAAATGGAGGCGGTCAGAAAATATCTAGATTCAGCCCAGGAACTGGCCAAGAACCAGTAACAATTCTTTATTAAACACGATTTGCCAATGTGATGGAGCAGTACTTCACATTTTTTCGACATTTCTAATAACCTCTTCTCATTGTTGGCCTAAAAATACCTAGTAAAAACCTTTTATTATTGTAGGATTACTGACTAAGCAAACTGTCCAATTCCTACCCAGCGCTTAGTGAAAATGGCCAATTTCTACCACGAAACTAGGGATTTTTTAACTTGAAACCAGACATCGATTTCATGGATGTTTATACATCTGGAAAGCAATCCTTAATGCTAATATCACAAAATTCACCTACAATTACCACAGGTAAAATTAAATAGTGAAAATACGGCAGTACGTTTAGAAACAACCTTTATGTCAGTTCGAATATACGGGAAACTGTACTATCTTCCTTTGGTATACTACCTTTGGAATGTAAAATTTAATTTGTAGTATCGCATTATCGTCGTACAATCTAGCTTCATAAAATAATCATCAACACTGTGAACACTCTATCCAGTTACGTACAGCAATGAAACAGAATACGTTTGTTGGGACGACTCCTACAATTGAGATTACGGAATGTTTTCTAGAAATGTTAAAAAAAGTATATTCATACCCCAAAAATCTATTCTATTTTATTCTATAGCACAGAATAAATCATTAGAGACTTGCATCTCCTATAACTTACAAAACTGTCGATTTTTTTCTGTACATTCGGATTGCATGTTTTCCAGTCTTTCATCAGCTTAGCTAATTCGCGGTGTGTCATGTAACTCTAAGTTATGAAATTCAAAATTCGCTTAGTTTGTAAAAAATACCCGTTTACGAACGTCATAAAAGCGCAAGCTCATTTTGCGTACCAAATTATCATGGATCGAGCAATTACGTCAAAAGTCCCGAATTTAAATGACAATTTCTTGATAAGTGCCATGACATGCATTAGAAATGACAGGGCTGAAATTGACACATTTAGTTCTATAGTGCGTTGTCACTGTCACGCAAATCAATATCGTAAATCAATTGAACAATAAAGCAGTTCCAAGAGTCCCATAATGAAAATCCAGCAGATTACCGTTCCTATTGCAACTCTTTCCGACGAACAACTTAAAACATGGGCGCAACACCACGAGTTTGCGGTCAAAAACTTGTAAGTATTTCAAAGTGGCGTCGGGTGAATGCCACTAACATGACATTTGGGCTACCAAATTTAGGTTATTTTTAAATATCTGAATTCTTTTTCGAATTTTTGTATTATCTTGCGGTTGAAATATACCAAAATTGAATATTTTAAACGTAAATTATCAAGTAATTTGGCCTTTGGGGGCTATTGTCAAAATGCGGCTGTACTCTCGCCTTTTTAAGGGTGCGCAGAATCGGATTTTTGCTGAAGCTTCAAGCGCACGAGTGGCTTACATTATCACCTATACACTAGTCTTGATTCCGATGTATATCGAATCCCAAATATCTGAGAAAGTAAATTATTAATGCTAGCGAAACGTCAGCAAGAAACGTTAATTCAGAATGTCGGATTACTATTCCTATGTTGTTTTTATTTCAGGGACCAGTGCGAGCCTATAACAGAGGCTGAATTGAATAAGATAAAGGAGGATTTAGAGAACGTCTACTTTGAAATATGGAAGAGAGCATTTCAGCCGGTAGTTGCTGAGCTTAAGATCCGCCTTGCAGTGTTGCGGCACTATTTGTTTTAAAATTGTTTGTGTTGTATTAAACCAATCACCGATTGATACTACAATGTATTGCCATGTGTATTGAATAAAATGAAATTCTTTTAAGTTATGCAAAAGTTTTAATATTATTGAAAATGTAAGGTGTTAATATGGTATGTACACGTGTCCCACAATATGGTCTTTCAGAACTTTTTAAGCCAACAAATTGGTGAGACTTCGAGAATTTATCTGCAAGATTTATTATTGAAGCGAATCGAGTGTCTTAAGGGAATGTTATGCAATTTAGATTGAGGCAAATTGAAATGGCTTTTTGTCTGTCAAGTAAATGTATAACTTAATTTAAATTTACTATTTATTTCAAGTTAAGTTCGGTAGTTACGAGTTTCGGGTAGAGTTATCTTAATTTCATTCGGGACTTCTGCGAACTCGAAGTTTTACAGGTGATGTTTCCCTATTGGCATTCGAGTTAACGGAATTATTTTAAGAGCAATCTAATATTATCCATTTCGTAAATTTCTTGGAAAAAATTTTTGTTATAGAAAATTCGTGGATATGGCTGCATATTTGCATAAGAGGACGATGAGCCACGTAAGGCAATTTTAATTATTTTCCGCAATATGGACTCTTAACTCTGACAGGTTTTCTGAAACTCCCTCAATAAAGTTTGCTTTTAAGTGTCCAAAATGCACCTGAAACCTGTTCGAGAAAAGGGAATAATAGAAAAAAACGTCAGAAGGCACCTGTATAAAATTTACAGGATATCGATTCTTCTTATGTTAGACACGATGTATCTAATATTAGATAATTAATACGTTTCATTATTGTAAGATTACTGACTAAGAAAAATGTCAAACTCTTTCCGAGTGCCAAGTAAAAAATCTGACAGGTTTTCTAAAACTCCCTCAATAAATTTCGCTTTTAAGTGTTCAAAATGCATCTGTAAGATTTTGAGAAAAGGGGATAATAGAATAAAAAGTCAGAAGGCATCTGTATAAAATGTACAGCAGAACGATCCTTTTTTATGTTAGACACGTTGTCCCTAATATTAGATAATTTCAATTTTGGCCGACTAAAGAAATGTTTAAAATGAATTAAAAATAACGGACGCACAAGGTTGCTGACGACCAATGTGTATAGATAAGTCCTAACAAATTTTGTAAAATAGGGATTCATGAAGCGGTCATGAAGGAAAAAAATATGAAAATTGTTTCTTGTTTATTATTGACTGAAGTTAGGCATGCAATGATTGGAAAGAAGGAAGTGCTAGAGGAGGAAACGTTAAACGTGGCACACTTAAGGTAATCAACGGCCATTGGTAATTCCGCCTCCAACAACGTCGGCTGTTAAATCTAATAACAGGATTATTACGGGAGTAAATCAATAATTAGGATCAGAAAACGCTGCTTGAATAAATAGGCGCAATGGGTGATTAGGAAAATAATCAAACGGGGTGAAACAGGCCCAAAGTTATATTTAGTTAATAAACGTACGTTCAAATCTTTGCAGCAGAAGGTACACAACTGTTCAGCTATGGGGCGAAACTGAAACTTGCCGTCAAACTGCATGAAGGCTTGTTTACATCAGCCGTCTGATGTGGTCTAAAGAAAGCCAAGTATGAACACGAGTGTCTTTGATTTATTAAGTTGAAATTAATTTTATATTGACGCGACTAAAGCTGGTCCTTTAGCTAAGAGAACACACAAGAGCTTCTATTTAGTTTCCTTAAGGGCCACAGGGCAAATTTTGCCTAACTTTGTCTCCGTTTACATCTTCTAATATTTGACTTTATATAGTAAGTTTTCCAGTTAACCACAAACAGTATTCCCCTCGTATTTACAGGTTCCAACAGTTACTTACTGAACCTCTCAGGACCGATATATATGCTTCTCTAATTGTCTGGTATGATTAACGAACATACGCACATATAAAAATGATTGCTTAAATTGCTTAAAATATTCTCCGGTAGTACTTTGCATATTAAATTCCTCTTCGTGTAATTAATTACATATTACAACCATTTACAATGGCTATTAATTAAGTTATTATAGACTTATCGGTATAATACTATCATATATCAATTTAATTTGCCGCTTCCCCACTGAGATTAATTTCAGAGCTAAAGTAAATACTATCCTTGTGTAGTTCTGTAACATCTACAAGTTAATATCGGCTCTTTCATATGAATTCATATTTTTTATATATATTTTATTCAGTCATGTCAAGAATGAATTACCGACAATTAACAGCACGACTGAAAAATTTATTATATTTTTGGAACTGCCCGCACAAACACAATGGAAATCAACAACATGGAATACGATGGCAAATTTAGTTAAAAGCTTTCCGTATAAAACAATAATTAGAAACAATGGTTCTCTGGATACATTTTTCATTCGCAATAACTCCATTAACACGTTTTTTCAATTAGGTGGAATATTGCATGGAGTTTATTGACGAATATGAGCGTTTAGTGTCAATATGTCTTCAACCGAAGTAACCGAAAATGGATCCAAGTAATATGATCGTCGATAATACGTTCTTTTTTAGTACTATTAAGAGCTAAGCAAAACTGCTATTAACCTTGGGGGAAATCCAAAGTAGTTTTGTAGTAGGAATTGGCCATTTTTTACTTGGCACTCGGAAAGAGTTTGACATTTTTCTTAGTCAGTAATCTTACAATAATGAAACGTATTAATTGTCTAATAATATCAGATACATCGTGTCTAACATAAGAAGAATGGATATCCTGTAAATTTTATACAGGGGCCTTCTGACGTTTTCTTCTATTATTCCCTTTTCTCAAACAGGTTTCAGGTGCATTTTGGACACGCAAAAGCGAAATTTCTTGAGGGAGCTTCAGAAAACCTGTCAGAGTTAAGAGTCTATATTGCGGAAAATAATTAAAATTAACTTACGTGGCATTTCGTCCTCTGATGCAAATCTGCAGCCATATCCACGAATTTTCTAAGCAAACATGTTTTTCACGAAATTTACAAAATTGGTAATATTAGATTGCTCCTCAAATTAAGAAATAAATAAATAAATAAAATAATTCAGTTAACTTTAATGCCAATACGCAAACATCACCTGTAAAACTACGAATTCAAAGCAGTCCGGAATGAAATTAAGATAACTCGACCCGAGACTCGTAACTACCGAACTTAACTTGAAATAAATAGTAAATTTAAATTAAGTTATACATTTACTTGACAGACAAAAAGCCATTTCAATTTGCCTCAATCTAAATTGCATAACATTCCCTTAAGACACCCGATTTGTTTCAATAATAAATCAAAGTCTTCCTTATTTATCGGCTTAAAAACTTCGCAAATGCCATATTGTGGGACAAGTACACATACCATATTAACGCATTAAATTTTCAATGATACTAAAACTCTCACATACCTTAAAAATATTTTATTATATTACATTCAATATATATTCAACAATATAATATTTTATTCAATACACATGGCAATACATTGTAATATCAATAGGAGATTGCTTTAATACAACGCAACCAATTTTAAAACAAATAGTTCGGCAACACCGCAAGTCGGATCTTAAGCTCAGCAACTACCGTCTGAAATGCTCTATTCCACATTTTAAAGCAGATGTTCTCTAAATCCTCCTTTATCTTAGTCAATTCAGCGTCTGTTACAATCTCGCACCTGAAATAAAAACAACATAGGAATAATAATTCGACATTCTGAATGAACAATTCTGGTACCGTTTAGGTGATAATGTGAGCCACTCGTGCGTACTAAGCTTCAGCAAAAATCCGATTCTGCGCACCCTTAAAAAGCCTAGAGTACAGCCGCATTTTGACAATAGCCCCCAAAGGCCAAATGACTTGATAATTTACGTTTCAACATTCAATCCTAGGATATTTCAAGATGATAGGAAAATGTGAAAAGAAATTAAAACATTTAAAAATAACGTACATTTGGTAACCCAAATGTCATGGTAGTGGTATTCACCCGGCACCACTCTGAAATACTGAGACAAGTTGTTGACAGCAAACTCGAGATGTTTTGCCCATGTTTTCAGTTTTTCGTCGGAAAGAGTTGCAACAGGAACTGCTGGATTTTCATTATGGGACTCTTAGAACTGATTTATTGTTCCATTAATTTACGATTTCGATTTAGTCCGTGCCAGTGACAATACGCAATGGAACTAAATGTACCAATTTCACCGCTGTCATTTCGTCAACCTGTCAATAAATTTTCGTTTAAATTCAGGATTTTGACGTAAATGCTCGATCCATGATGTTGATGAGTTTACATTCATTAACGGGTATATTTTTTTACAAATTAAGCGAATTTTATATTTCATAACTTAGAATTACATGACACACGGCGAATTTGATAAGCTGGTGAAAGACTAGACAACATCTACTCCGAATGTAGGGAAAAAAATCGACAGTTTTTCAAGTGATAGGAGATGCAAATTTCTAACGGTTTATTCTGTGCTATAGAATAGAATAAAATATATTTCTGGGGTATAAATAAACTTTTTTAAACTAAATGTGTCAATTTCAGCCCTGTCATTTCGTATGCATGTCATGGCACTTATCGAGAAATTGTCATTTAAATTCGGAACTTTTGACGTAAATGCTGGATCCGTGATAGTTTGTTGCGCAAAATGGGCTTGTGCTTTCCTGTCAGCGATAAGACGTTCATAAACGGGGATATTTTTTACAAACAAAGCGAATTTTGCATTTCGGAACTGATAAGTACATGACACACGGCGAATTTGCTAAGCGGGTGAATGACTAGAAAATATGCAGTCCGAACGTACCGAAAAAAATCGACAGTTTTGTAAGTGATAGGAGTGCATCTCCTCTCTAATGGTTTATCCTGTGCTATAGAATAGAATACAATACATTTTTGAGGTATGAATATACTTCTAGAAACATTTCTAGAAAACATTCCGTAATCTCAATTGTAGGAGGTCCGCAACGAACGTATTGTTTTTCATTGCAGTAGTTAACACTATAGTGTTCCGTAGAATTGGCTTGGGCTTCGGACTTAGAAAAATGCAGTTACAAAAAGTTGAAGATTATTTTATAAAAGCTAGATTGCAAGATCTTGAGATACTAGAAATAAAATCGTACACACAAGTATAGCCAAGGAAGAAAGTACATTTTTCCGTATATTCATGCTGATATACAGGATGTTTCTAAACGTACTTTCGCATTTTTACTATTCAATTATACCTGTGGTAATTCTAGTAGATTTTTGTAATATTAGCGATTAGTATTGCTTTACAGATGTACAGACGTCCATGAATCGATGTCTAGTTTCAAGTTAACATGTTAATTTTAACTCATTCGCTCACTGGACTCTCACAAATATTGAGTATGGTTTTAACATGTATGGTCAATATCAATACATTTTTGGAATAGAGTCAATCCGTGGAATCCGTTGCAGAGTAATATTGAAGCTGTCTTCACTGGCATTGTTCTTAAACCAAATTACGCACTTCACACTTTCTCAGAGCAAGATTTCACTATTCTTTGTCAGAACTGGAAATATACAGCATAGTACGCAATCGTTTCGCATATCAATATCTGAAATGGTGGAAATCCAAAGAAGTTCTCTAGTAGTTAAAATGGACTAGTGAAACTAGGTATTTGTAAGCCAAGATTTAGAAGGGATTATTAAAAAGGCCGAAAAAATACCTAGTACTACCCCATTACATCGGCAAGTCGTGTTTGATATAAAATCGTTACTGGTTCTTGGCTATTTCCTGTTTTGAATCGAGCTATTTTCTGGTCGTCTCAATTTATTTGAGTGTAATAAAATATATTAGAGAATGTTAAAAGATTATACTCTTCATTAATGTTATAAACGGTATAATTACTTTTTAAGGCACTCGTCAAAATATTGTTTGTGAACTCATAAGCTTCACTAACCTCATCTGTACTTTCGCCGAACTGATGTCCTTCTTCAAAACATTCGACAATTTCAGAAACTCCAAACTGCTGTTCTTGTTAAAATTCATCAAATATTAGATTATCAGAAATTGCAATACACACAGTTCTTTCTCTTCAAAGTCATTTTGGTCATTTAAACTACTCGACTCCGACCCTGCACGATTTTTACCGCTCACACGAAAACCTTACTTGAAACTGTTATTATATTTTTTTCCTTCCCGGGTTTCAGTCAAAGTGTAAAATAAACATTTTCATATCGTTTATTTCATAACGTTTCGGCGAGACAACAGCGCCATCATCAGATTTAAAATTCATACAAACTCATAATTGGGAAACATTAGATACTTTTAGGTCTTTGCTGTCTTGAAACCTCAAATTTGTTCTATAACCTTTCTTCTTCCTTGGAACGTTTGCTTCTTCCCGATTTCTCCAACATCGCGAAATTTCCGTAAGTACACGTTTGGATCAATTTTTCAGTTTCGGAACAGACCTAAGCCTAACGAATTTAAATGAGCGCACTTTGCAATGCGTTAGTTAATGAGTTTATCAATTTCTGGGTCTAAATGAGACGATTTTTCCTCGACGATTGGCAAAAGACGATCTGGCAAAACGATTTCAAGGCAGCGTCGAAACTTGACCGAACAATTTTTCCTGTTCTTTGACTGCAGCCATATACTGAGCGGTTGTTTCAATATACTATTAATTATACTACAATTTACCAGTGTTAAGTTTTTCAGTTATGTATGCATTGATGCAAAATTTGTTAGTCACATCGGAGGAGAAGAAACACTCTTTATGAAATGCTTAAGTAAACAGTACTGGTTGAATAAACAAAGACAAAGACTGATAATCAATTTCCAGACTTGCTTAGATGAAAACCGCCTTTCTTTTTGTCGTGTTCGTCTGTTGTTCATTTGGGGATTTCGATGTCGAAGGAAAAAGCGTAATTGAGGACATTAATTTATTGGGTCTATTAGAAATACTTTTGATTGTGGGGATGCTTTTAGATGAGCACTTACGTGAAAGAAGCAACAGGATTTTGAAAGGTCGGAAGGGGTCATAGAAAGCGCACGCTTGCCAACATTCGCACGCGACTGTGCGACGGGTTAAGCCGTTACAGCCACATTTTCAAGCAAGTTCGCGAACAGCAAAGTTCTGCATCGCTCGAAAGGAAACGCTCTCAAACGTAACGGAAACATATTTTTGTTGGTTAACTTTTTGGTTTGTGGGTACCAGCGAAATTTGTTCCAAAAGTGGTCGGTAAGTTGCTTGTTCTTTTTTAAAAGCTTTTCCAGTAGATATGCAGCTTTCAAAAGTTTTTGAAACTTTTCGCTTTCCTTCTGTTTCAAACCAAACTTTTAGGTTGAAATAAAACTGCATTAGTTCGAACTGTGAAACACAGGAAAAGCGTGTATAGAACAACTACTTAGAGCACACGCCGGACATATCTGAAGAAAAAGTTAATAGAATTTTCCAAAGTTGGATTGTTTGCGCGCTAAGATTATATGCGGCCACAGAAAACTTTCAAAACTTCACTAAACGGTAAATTGCAGTCAATTTGCAGCAAATGTGAATTAATGACAATACTCACTTGTTTCAGTATTTTTAATATCTTTTTTATGATGCCCACTTCATTATTTACAATTTGATTGCAAATCTCTAAATAAATTTCAAAATTGAGAATGTCAAGTGTAAGCTAACAGTTGAGTTCTATAGTAGAAGAACATTCCGAAAAATCGACGAAATTTATAATGTTTGATAATATCAATTTAAAAACGTATGTATATACCAAGAAAAGCTTTTCGAAAGTAGTGAAGCGTCGCGACCTTTACGATCTGATAGTTAATTTCCGAAGTTTTTGGGTACATTGTCCATATGTGTACCACGAATAGAAGACAATGTTATTTGCTCAAGTCAAAGATCCTTCGGATAAATTCCAATAGTAAACATACGTTACCAATATTTCTGCATTGCAAATTTTCCAAATCAACTGCTCGTTTTCCTTGTGGAAATATTTATTGCAATATATCACAAAATATTTATTGCAATTTTGCATTATTACAGCTATTGCGTTATTGTCCCAAATCAAATGCCAGTTCTCCTTGCGAAAATATTTATTTAATGTAGGCAGGAATTACTACATACATGCTGAAGAAGATTCCCAATATATTCCTGTGAGCTTTCTGTGACATCGTAAAAATTTAAACACTCCGAGCTTATATTAGTAAGGAAACTTCTTTGGGATTTTTATATCCTTAGAAATCCAAAGGGACTTATCTAGCAAATTTTTAGCACAACTTCGGAAAATTTAAAATTTACTTCACAGTCTGTTCCGGTCAGATTTTATTATTTACTTAAATCATAGTTGCATCAAATTATTATTTCACACATATTTTCGAATAGTCGCACGTGCTTGTCATGAACATTTCTACTTTTATTGACATAAATAACTAAATATGTAGCCCCTGTTCCTGAAGGAAATGGTTCCGGGTTACTTTAAACCACCGCATGAGGGTAAATAATATATAAAAATAACTTTCGACTTATTAGAGATTAGAGATGATAATGATAGAATCGAAAACCTGATCTGTTGAAATTATTTGCTTCCCTTCAGACTGAACTGTGAGAATCGAGTGAAACATATCTAGCAGTTAATGATTGATACATTACCAGCAATTGATATAGGTTCACTACATCTCAGTAATATTAAGCCTGAAGTTAAATTCCAATTTGAACTTCGGCAGGCCCTTCGATACAGCGGTCACACTTAATCTCCCAACCTTGTAAAATGGCTGCAAGACAATTGGCTGAATAACAAATGGCCCGAGATAATTGACCAACCCTGACAATTGAGCTACATATTAAATTGCCGAACTTCATCAGTCATTTGAAAGTAATGCTCTCGATTTGGGTCTGTTTTTGCTATAAATTGAGTGGGCCATTTCGCCTGGATAAACTAACTTAAGATACTTGTACTTTAAGCTATGAAATAATACAATTTATCGAAGCGATTATAATGCGGGCAAATTTAATAAAAATTAATTGTTTGGCATTGAAAGCAGATTTCCGCTCGCTAGGTCAACCCAATTTGCTAATATTTAGAACCGATACAAGAATATTCCGCGCCCTTAATGAAATGCAAATTCTATCGATTATAATTAATTCCTGTGTTTCCTACTTTTCGGCATTACAAAAGGCCTGCTCATATCCAATAAATGCTTTGTGAGGTAAATACAGCCAGAAAAGGAATATGAAAACAAATTATTATTAACTTATCAGAAAAGACAATTTCAATTAATTGAATGAATTTGATTTATTTAACTGAGTAAATGCGACAAACTTATGTTAAGAATAATGTTGCAATATAAATAGATGAATTGTAGGATTATTTAGCTCAACTAGATATTGTGTTACACTTTCGATTAGAGAAAAATATATTGGCAATTTAAAAGAATAAAAAATGCTTATCTCTTAACTTGCAACAGGCATAATAAAGATAACGCCACTCGAAAGTCCCAGTTCAATTATAATAACTCTAATTACATTAGTTTTAATTAAACACGTTAGAAGCGGTTTTCTAAAGCTGTTTCCAGCCGAGGAGCTTCGACTAGAGTTAGAAAAGGGTTTTTGTAGTAGTATAATCGGTTGGCATGTGGGCAGATTATGATTAACTACTCAGGTGCTTTACTTTCAGTAACCCATCACTATTGTTCAGATCATTGACTAAACTAAGTGTTGGTATATTTAAAATAATTTGACCGGTTTCAGATATTTCAGAGAAAATCAAAGTTAACAATTACGAATGAATTGCTCAGCTCATGTCATTTTCGCGAACAATTTCCCATGCACTAATATTACAATTAAGACGGGTTAAAAGCCGTTCACTGCAAGCATAAAATGCCTTCTTTCAAGAATTTCACAGGGTTATTAGTTGTATGTATAGGTATCCAGTCATTGTATCAAAGTCAATTTGTCTAAGGAAGTTTAATGTACCTGAGTGGTTTCGTTCGGGCAAAAGCCAAGTTTCGAAATATGATTAAAGTTGATGCGCAGGTATACTTAAAGTTGAAGCTACATTATACATTTTATTTCTAAATGGCTCCATTTTGCTCTTTGACTATGATGTGGTGAAACTGATTATTGACTAAAATGAATATTTTAAAGTGAAGCGGATCGATTACAAACCATTATATAGTCGAAGGGCACATAAATCCATTGCTATGATTTGCTTTTAGCCCTAATGTGTATCCGTTAATCCAATAAATATGATAGTGGTTTATAATAGCCACCATTTCAAAAATTATCAGTAATTATTTGATTATTTATATAAGTTGATAAAGTTTTGTGAATTTTGGTAAGAAATTTAAATTTTAATTAACTAATAAATTACGCGCGATATTAATTTCTAATTAGTTGAAAATAAAGGCAGGAATAAATATTTTCGCTACCTCTAACCACAAATATCTACTGGCGGGAAAGCTGAATCCATTTTAATTTAAAACTGGTACAAGTTTATTCCCCTTTATTGGTACACAGCATTTTTGTATAAATATTCATAAGAAACGTGCTGCAAACTTTTAAAACAGCTTTAATTTATAATGCCAGTTATTTTTGTTACGTCATTCCTGGCTACAGATCGCTTGAAAAGAAAATTATGGAAAGTTCAAATTGATTACACTTCTGTGAGCTGTTGATTTACTTTATTTAGACGATGTAAATGCATTTTATGAGTTCTGCAAGTATACTGCTCCCCCGAGTTAAGTTGCGGCCTCTCGTGCTCATTGATAAGGAAGAAATCGCCAACTTACTGCATGAATGCCCTATCAGAAAGCAGTTTCTTGGACTGTGCTGAGGAACTGAAGTAAATGATATAAATTGGTTTGAAATTTTCTACAACTCCGTGAATTTCCTAAAATTCTTTTTGTTCTTGTTCCATTGTAATTAGTTTAATCATCTCTATTTTTCCGAGCTGGAAGCAAACAATCTGTTTTCTAATTGACAGATCTAGTTCGTTCCTGTACCAGCGAAAACAAGGTCTGTTTCCATTTAACTGCTGAATTAGAGGTTCTATTAAAGTAGAAATTTACAAGGCTGGGGTGATTTTATTGTCTACTAGCTAAAGCAAAAGGATTTAGGATTAATTTGGCAAAATGAGGTCTCTTTTGGTCTCAGCTAGTATATACTTACTTTAATTCGACTTGACATAATTAAGTTGGAAAAATACAGGCAATGTCGCTTTTCAAGCCGGCGTTCTTTTGACCAAGTTTAAACTAAGTAACTAACTAACCGCGTTTTTCAATTTTGAACAACTATTGACAATAAGCAATTACGAAATTGTACTAGTTTCATTGTTTCAAATCTATGTCAGTTCTTTATCTAATATATATATATAAACGCAATTTGTATATATATATATATTTACTATAGAAGTCGATGTTATCTCTCAGCATGGAGAGATCAGACATTTTATTTTAAAACTTTAAATTTGACAAAATTTTAACGTGTGACAAAAAAATAATTTGTGTACCGTGACATGTGTTTTGGATTGTTTTTGTGCTGACGTGGCATCGTGTCTTAATTAATTCATTACATATGGGTGTACATCTCGCATAAACCCAAATTTGTATACTATATATATCTAACTATGTATACTATATATATCACGGCATAATTTAAATATACTGAATTAAAGCAAACATTATCCTGAAATCATACAGCCAAACTTAACATTCGTTTCTAACTTTTAATTCGTTTGAGTCTTTGTTTGGTAACAAATAAGCTTCGAATCTAAATAATAATACAAAATTCCTTACAAACGCAACTTTGCTTTAATAAATAATTTACTAAGTATGTTCAATCCAACCGGAAACTGTTAGTACGCCTTTTCTGATTCTTTGTATATATCACTTTTCAATGCTATAAAAGTAAATGGAAGAGAAACACGGTCAGTTACTATTTATATTGGAGGTGTCCAAATCAGACTTGGAAAATTGCACCAAATCGAATATATAAAACAGATGGTTTTGTTTCCAAACAAGGTAAGTCCTCAAATGGCTAATGCCATTTGGTCTCGATTTGGATTTATAACCTCGGTGAGTATTTCCAGGCAAAAAAACCGTAAGGTCGCTTGAAGAATACTCGCGTCTTGTATTAAAAATCCGGAATTAATTAAATAATTAGAAAGTACAAATGGCCTTCTTTTTACGCCACACAATATTACTAAACTACAAAAACTTACTTAACAGAATATCATGGTTAAA